AGACAGAGAGAGAGAGAGAGAGACAGAGAGAGAGAGAGAGAGAGAGAGAGAGACAGAGAGAGAGACAGAGAGAGAGAGAGAGAGAGAGAGAGAGAGAGAGAGACAGAGAGAGAGAGAGAGAGAGAGAGAGAGAGAGAGAGGCAGAGAGAGAGAGAGGCAGAGAGAGACAGAGAGAGAGACAGAGAGAGAGACAGAGAGAGAGAGACAGAGAGAGAGAGACAGAGAGAGAGAGACAGAGAGAGAGAGAGAGAGAGAGAGGCAGACAGAGAGAGACACAGAGACAGAGACAGAGAGAGAGACAGAGAGAGACAGAGAGAGAGAGACAGAGAGAGAGAGAGAGAGAGAGAGAGAGAGAGAGGCAGAGAGAGAGAGAGGCAGAGAGAGACAGAGAGAGAGACAGAGAGAGAGACAGAGAGAGACAGAGAGAGAGGCAGAGAGAGAGAGAGAGAGAGAAAGACAGACAGACAGACAGACAGACAGACAGACAGTCGTACCCTCCAGTACTTGGAGCAGACCACCAGCAGGCTGCTCTGGGTGAAGCTGCAGAAGGAGATGCTCTGGCAGCCCTGGCAGTAGATGGGCTTGGACTCTTCCTCAAAGATCGGGTCCAGATCCTGGACCAGGAACGGACCAGAGGCTCAGATCAGAGAGAGAGTGTGTGTGTGAGTGTGTGTGTGTGTGTGTGTGTGTGTTCGCCTGCAGCAACAAACCTGCATCTTGCTGACCTCAGCTGTTATCATCCACACCTTCAAAATCCCCGTCACTGACACTGCCACCACCGTGTCCTCTGAGGAGCAAATCCAGGTTTTATCATTCCGGCTCTGAGCTGCTAGCATGAAGCGCTCACCGTCAGGTAAACACACCTTGGGTCCGGTGGGAGCGGATGATGCTCATGGAGCTGATCCAATCAGGAGAGATCTTAGAGACCAGAGAGTAGAGAACCTCCAGGCTGGTGGCGTCCACCACAAGGATCTCTGGGTAATGGCCGTTACACAGCAGGCGGCCCTCCTTCTGCGTACCGATGGTGAACAGGTAGAACTGAGGGAGGAGAGGGAAAGAAACAAACAAGAGAATAAAATATAAACATGAATTCCTAAGGACATTCTGGAACATGAAGACGATAATATCAAAAATATATGTGTGCTAAAGGTTTGTAGTGTTTCAATGACAGAATGTGAAGTGAAGCTAGCAATGTAGCTTTAGCTTCTAGTACATTTGCTGTTGATGTACTCTTCATTGCTAGCAGAATTAATAATTTTGATTAGTGCTTTAGAGTTAGCACAACACATATTTCTTCTTATTAAGTATGTTATGTTATAATCTGAGGAAGAATCTGACGTTGAGCTCATGAGTGAACTTCCTGTCTGCACCCTGACGCCACCAGGTGAGTCCGTGTCTCACCTGGATCCCGGTGTGAGCGCAGGCCAGCTTGGTGAACTCGATACAGCGCCCGTCGTTTACGTCCCACAGACACATCTCCCTGGAAACATGGGAACATGAAGAGCAGGTTTCAGGACGGACCAGGTTCTGTTAGAACACTGAGCATGCGGAGGAAACGGACCCGCTCTCTGAGGCGCTGACGATGTACTGCTTGTCGCTGCTGGCGCTGGCTTTAGACAGGCAGGTGATGGAGGCCGTGTGGCCGAACAGCATCGCTCTGGGACAGATCTGGAGGCAGAAACCAACCAATCAGAGGAAGGAGAGAAAAAAAGCTTCTGCTAGAGACAGAAAAGGAACTAAAGTCACTAAAATCAGGATTTGATGTTAGGAAAATGTCTCTGAATGCAACTAAAACTAAATTTATAGTTAAAGAGAAAAAAAACTTAAACTAAATAGTGTTGAACTTGATGCAAAGGACCAGCTGGTCATTTCTGATAGAAGGTTAACATGGATGCAGAATATTAACAACAAAGGTTTTAAATTTCTAAAACATTTTGTATTTTATGTAAAACTACAAACATGAAAGAAAGGTCACAATATGTTTTAAATATATATATATTTAAATGACCAAATACTTTGGGTAAAAGATAAACAAGTGTTTGATTTTCTCTGTCGTGTATTTTTTTAATATTAAAGATAATATGTTGATGGTGGATTATCTGTTTGTGACTGAAATAAAAATTTAAAAAATAATGAAAAAAATGCTAGAAAAAAATGAAAAAACTAAATAAAAACAAAAGAAAGATTTTAATATTAAAGTGCACAAAAGACTAATAACAAAAGGCAACAACAAGGGAAAATAAGTTAAAAAACCCACAGGAATTCCAACATTAAATTAAAAATAAAGTAGATTAAAACTCAGAGCACAGGAAGCAGGCCGCCGCTCCCACCTGCAGCTCGGGGGTCATGTCCCACAGGCAGATCTGACCGTCATGGCAGCCGGTGATGATGGTGGTGAAGTCGTCCATCACCAGTAAGCTGCTGATGCAGTGTGTGGGCGCCGTGCGGCCCCACAGCACGATGGGCAGGACCAGGTTGTTCCCCGACATGATGCTGACAGACAAACATGGAGGAGAGGCCACTTCATCACAAACCGGACCGACCCGGACAGACAGAACCGCTCCGACTCCACACTTTAATTCACCATTTAGGCTGAACTGATGCTGGTTGGACAGTTACTACCTCTGGTTCTGGATGCTTCTTTTGTTTGTTTTTACAGTTGTTATGACACGTAACCATAGCAACAACTAACTGGACACAGCAGATTAGCTTCTGAAAAGCTCAAATAAAACCTGAACTACGACCCCAAATCCCAGAGGAGTTGAAAAGGAGGCGACTCCCCTACTCCAACATCCCTTCAACCAGACAGATTTAAAGAGGAGCAGCAAAAACAAACGATGTGGATTAGCAACTGATGATGTTACCCAGCACATGACACTGTATACAGCAACAGCCTCCAGTCAGAAGCTTCTTCAGATTCAGATTCAGATGCGAGCCTGACTGCTACTGGAGAGCCGTTCTCCCCAAAACTTCTCCATCCACACAGATTCTCTGAAGACACTTTGATTTTGTGAGTTAAGACAACATTTAATTTCATTTTGGGATAAACAAAGTATTTTTAAGTGAATTGCATTGACCTGCAGGTCTTCATGGTCAGACTAATTTAAAATGTGTCCAAAATATGAAATTATGCAGAAATAAAGCTGCATAATTGGTTTATCAATCAGTGCAGTGAAGCCCTGCATTGACTGATCACCAATCAATGCAGAGCTTCACTGTTTTAGTAAGAAGGTAATCAGGATTCCGTATCTGCAGCCATGAAGGAACAGAGGACAGAAATCAGCATCAGATGATCGCATCAGCTGGTTGTGTTTACAGCCAAATATAGATCAATAATCTAACGCTTCCGTTTAAAACCAAACATTTTACAGCCTGGAATTAAACAACAGACAGATATATCTCTATAAATTATTATTAGGAGAACAGATAATTAACCCAGCAGCTAACTGTCCCTGATCATCGGACGCTAGAGGACAGGTTAGCTCTCACACTTCCGCTTCAGCGACGCTAACAGCTAACAGCTAACGGCTAGCGGCTAGCAAAACATTCCGATAAAAAAACGGCTGAGACGCACCAGAGACTGACGTCCTACTGGAACATGTCCGGCCAACTGACAGCTTTCACAAATACGGTTCCTCCTGCGGCGAAATCAGACAAAAAGACGCCGTTATTCTGCGCCGCTTCTGCTGGCTGGTCCCACCGACAAACAGACCTTACGGGTCAGCTGATCAGCTACATCCGGTCACTCACAAAAATAAAATAAAATAAAATAAAATAAAATAAAATAAAATAAAATAAAATAAAATAAAATAAAATAAAATAAAATAAAACATCTTATACAATCCAACAATTGTATCAGAAAGTCAATTTACCAAAACATGAGCAAATAATCGTAAATCAGCTAATGATATAGATACACGTTTAAGCAAAAAAACAGACACTAAAAAAATTAGGAGAGACTCAAATGGAAGAACAAAAACGAGCAAAAATGAATTTTGCATAATAGTTTCCCTTTAAGAATATTATTCTGACTTTGTAATTTGTGAAAAATAAGTGACAGAAGTGTGAGTTGCAGGACCAATTGGAGGAACATATTGGATATTATTATTATTATTATTATTATTATTATTATTATTATTATTCACTTTTTAGTGGCCCTAATGTTCTTCCATATTTTCTTCCGTATGACACAGCTCTACATGCTTTCGTCAAATATTAATTAATGCCACTGCATCTGATAACTTTGATTTTGTTTTGTTGTTTTGTTTTATTGTGTGTTTGGCATAAATGGGATATTTTGTTGTTTTGTTTTGTTTTTGTAGTTTCCTCCAAGAAACCGGAAGTGGTTGCTGTTGTTGTCTTCTCTTGACTTCCGCTCATCCTACCGGAGCAACAACACGTGTTTAGCGACCCACAGTGAACGTTTCTGATTATTTAACTTAATTTATGTCTCTTTTTACCACTCTGTAGTTTTTTCACATCCTAAACTATAAAATGCAGCTGGTAGATTAATGTCCGGCTGTTTGTAGGCGGATAAACTGATGTCTCATCGAAGCCAGCTGCTGTCGGGACAGTTCAACATGTCTGGACTTGTTCCGTCACTCAGACACATGGACAGGGACGCAGATAACTCAGGACAGAAATAATGGACTATCAGTTTCCTCAGCAACTTTTCCCCTCGTTTTACAGCAGCGAACCGCCGAACCGGGTCCAGAGACACAGCGCCGGAGGATGGGGCTGCTACGACGGAGTCTTAGCGCAGGTGGGGGAGTTTTCTGAGCTCACCTGTCTTAGTTTGGGTCACAAAATCCACCTGAATAATGTTCAATATGTAAACAAATCTGAGATAAATGCGATGCTGCGTTCACTGACGTCTGGAAAGCGCATGTAAATTATTTAAAACCACGTATTTTAGGTTTAATAAACAATAAATCAATAGTTCTTGCGTATTAGAAATTTGACAATCATTTATTTTAGTAATCGATTATTCTAACGATTAATCGTATAAAATGCCACATTCTATAGATTTTTAATATAACCTCGTAATTTTTTTATACAATTTAGAAATACATTGCAAATGTAAATAAATAATTAAATTCATTTATTTTAATATGAAAATAAATATTTTATTATTTGTTTACTAGAAATTCTTTAGAGAATCTGAACTGGGTGAAGCTAGTTTTGGCTTCAACCTCTTCACAGACATGTTTTTATCTTTCATGCAAAGTGTATATATATATATATATATATATATATATATATATATATATATATATATAGTTTACTGCTTTAAATATGTTTTTTTAAACAAATGGTCTTTCTTTGAGTCTGTTAATGATTAATCGATTACTAAATTAGCTGACAATTATGTCAATAATCAATCAGTCACGATTAATTGTTTCCCTCCTAGTTTAATCCCATTTTCCAACCTCACATTACACCTGTGGCGCAGTGCATTCTGGGCAATTTGCTGTATTAGTTTTCCTCCAGGTGTTTTGTCCTGAATGACGGGGAGGAGGTTGAGTTTGATGATGATTATGATGTTGACCTAATGCGGCTCTGGTTCCAGGGCGGCACCGGCTCTCTCTCCAGCTGGGCGTTCAGGTCCAAACGGCAGGTTGGAGGGGAGGTCTGGCGCCAGATGGAGCCGGTTCCGGTTCCCCTGCTGTCCCCCAGGAAAGGTGAGCCGGTTCTGATCCAGAAAACATCCAGAGTTGGCGCTCAGTTGGTTTTATTTCCCATCGTCTCTTCGTCTTTATGTTTATTGATCTCTAATAAAGCCGTAGAGCCGTAATAACTTGTATTTGCTGCTGTTTGTAGTTTTCCAGTTTTCCTGATGCTTCTGTGGTTTTCCTGCAGCGTTCCAGGAACTCGTGACGCCTCCTGATCCGCTGGACTTCTTAAAACATGTGAGGAACATTTTAATAAACCGATCAGATATTAGCAGCCAATTTCAGCTGATAATGATTGAAACTACCACTGAGCGATTATGGCTTGAAAACAAAAGATAAATGACAGAAACCTGTCTATCACTCCTTCTGTATGTTGTACAACAGAGTACTGGGATCAGGCTACAAAATGTCTTTAATTATGAGAACATCGTCATAAAATTAGCAGAGACAAACAAATATCCCCAGAACAATGTTTAAAAAATACAAAAATAAATCATTTTTAATGAGAAAAATAAAACATCCTGTTGCTCATAATAATTTAATTCTGATGTGTTAAAAGATAAAATATTTACTTATTTGTAAAACTTATTCCAAAGATTTCCAACATTCCTCATTTTCATTTTTTGTTATTTTTCATGTTGGAGTTTTGATAAAATTCCTTCTTTACTATCACAACTTTGCTCTGGCATTATTTTGACCGTACAGTGGACCTGAATCCAAAGGCCAAATAAATAGAAGATGACAAACAAGATGGCCGCCGTGGCTGCCTTCAGTTTGAACTGGAAGGAATTTTTCAAAAACCAAAAATTTGATCAATCCATAAAATAAAAGATCCGAGTGGATTAAGTGGAAAATTCTGTTTTCTGGGGAATTTCCCGGCCCGTTTTTAAAACAAACCCAAAAAAAAAAAAAAAAAATCAGAGAGTAAAGAAATGCGTTCCTGCTCCTTCGTCCAGATGCAGAACTTCTTCATGGATCACGGCCCGGACGCCTTCGGGTGCATGAGTGAGATGCTGGGGGAAAACTTCCACTTCCAGAAAGCCAAGTTGAAGAAGGTGAGTCCGGCCCGACCTGCTGCCAACGGCTCAGATTAAAGCTTCAGATTAATCTGCTGCTGTTTTGCAGAAATGTCGTCGGGATTCGATCAACATGTGGAGGACGAAGAGCTTCGTCGACCAGCTGAAGTTCAACATGTGAGCAGAAAACCACCTGGATCGACTCAGAACAGAATTTTTAGTGCAATATATTGTGTTTCCCAACTTTTTTACTGAGTAAAAAAGGGGGCGGAGCTTGTTCTGATTTCCAGCAGTCTTCAGCCAATCAGAGGCTAAAGACTCTGATTTAGCCAATCAGAGGCTGTCTTCTTTAGGCAGACTTAGAAAATTAAACTAAATACTTGTTCATTTAGTATTTAATTATTTAATTAAGTTTAAAATAACTTAAATTATGATGGACACATTCATATTTATTTATTTTGGAAAAGATCATAAATAGGAAAATTTCAAATTATTTTTTTTATCTACTTGGAAAATAAGAATCTGAAATATTCATGATGTATTTGGTGTTAAAGCTTTAGGTTTATGTTGTGATTTTTGTCTGATGTTGTTGTTTTCCACCCATCTGATGTCTTTCCTGTATGAATGCCCCGATTTGATATCTGTTCTGATATGTTTATACCTGTCATGGCCAATAACTCATATTTACTGATAATAAAAAAATTTTCCCAACTGCAATTAAAGAATGTTAAAGTAGAAAATTATTTTATTAGGGGAGAAAAAGTCGGGCAAAATACAAAATATTAATCTTTTAATAACCAGACTTTCTGAATATTTAGAAAATTTCATCCTTATCTGTTTCGTTTCGTTCTCCAGGTGTCCCATGGCGTACCGGTCCCGGTCTCTGGACCGGTACTCCAGCCTGCTGTGGGACGTGGTCCATGACGTTCCTCCGGACCTGCTGGGCTCGCTGCTGTTCGAGGAGCTGACCGAGCAGAGGGACCGCATGCAGTTCTCAGAGGCGGCCACCGGGGGCGCCCTGGCCTTCGTCCCGTTCTCGCAGAGCGATGGCTGCCTGCTCTACCCTGGAGGCCTGGGGATGGACCGCCTCAGTATCCTTTAGGTCAAAGGTCAGGTTTTATTCAAGCTTTGAGATGGTAAAAAAAAGGACATGCTGTTGCCATGGTTACACATCACAGGTGTCCAACAGGAAGATAAAAAAAAAATCATTCCTGTTGCATAGAATCCCAAACCAGAGGGAATAATGGTCAAACATTCAGAAACAAACTGGAGCCAGAAGCATTGTTCTTAACGCAGTACCTCAGACTTCCACAGGGTGGTGCTGGAGCGCGACGGCTCCGCCTGCATGGATACTGGCCAGAAGCCGGTCAGCTTCCAGCTGAGGGGTCCGGTCCGACAGATCAGCTGCAGCTCGCGCTTCGGCGACAGTACGGCGTTTTCCGGAAGGATTCCTGATGCTCCCGGAGCTCCAGCTGATCGTTTCCTGTCGCCCTGCAGGCTGCGTCGCCGTGCGCTCCGACCACGTCTGTGGCGTCTGGGGCATGGGGGACCAGAACGAGCCGCGCCTGCTGCAGGTGGTCGGCACCGAAGCTGCTGCCAGCTGTGTCAGCACCAGGTAGGGTCAGCGTCGGGTAGGGTCAGCGCCGGGTAGGGTCAGCGCCGGGTAGGGTCAGCGCCGGGTAGGGTCAGCGTCGGGTAGGGTCAGCGTCGGCGAACGAACCAACAGACACATGATCAGTATCGGTAGTAAAGACGGCGGATAGAAAATTCAATATTTAACATGTAGAATATTCACTAGGCTTTCATTCAGAACCGCACTCCATTGTGGGAGACGTAGGCAGAGGAAAGAGTTTAGCTGCCTAACTTCTAACAGCTAGCTAAGCATCAACTAACTCACTCACTTTTCAGTTACCTAGCAACTAACTCACTCTTTGGTTACCTAGCAACAACCTGCTAGCTTGCGCAGGAGCAGTTTCCCACTTTGCCTCAAAGCTGCTTAAAAAAGATAAAAACCCAAGTTGTGAATTGAAGGTCACAACATTTCAGATATTTAAAATAAAAACACTAATCAATAATTATTGATACTGATAAAATGCTTTTATGGAAAGTTTGTCAGCCGTATCGTCCGGCCCGGAAGCTGACCTCCTTCTGTTTGTTTCCTCAGTCCGCACATTCTGGGCGAAGTTCTGGTGGCGAGTGAGAGCGGAGCGGCGAGCCTGTGGACGGTCGGCAGAGGGTGAGGAACAAGCCGACCTGCAGGTTTGGTCCAAACGCCACAGAGTCCCAGAGTCTCCTGCTGTCCCCCGTCAGGTTGCAGAAGGTCCGAACGGAGGAGAGCAACTTGTACTTCAACGCCAAGTCGTCATGGCGATGGTGCGAATTCTCCGCCCACCCACGAGTGATGCTGTACGCCGACCGGACGGGGGTGGAGCTCACAGACTTCAGGCTGAAGGTGGGGGAATATTAGCGCTGGATTCACAAAACCATTCCTGAGTCTCGTTTACGGCGAGTCAATTTAAAACGTCCCAACATCGATTTTAAAAAGTACAACCAATCTGTGTTGTCGCCATGGAGACGGTACAGGACCGAATGCGTGTGCATAAATCAACACAACAAAGAGGAAATCTGTGAAAAAGATTCAACCAGCTTCGTATTTAAGGACATTTTGACGTTTGCTGCGTTTCAAATGTTCATAAAATTGTGCAAATTGGAATTATGAAAGTAACGCCGATAGCGCTGATTTTGAAAACATTGTTTGATTTAGGATGAAGTGGGTTTTTTCAGCTGTATTGAAATGACTAAATTAACATGGCAATGGAAAAGATGCTTTTGCATCATGAGTCATGTGATCAACAAGTGGACGTTGCTACTGGTGGAAACAACAAAGAAGACGACAGGAAGTGGTTGGAGGATGTTGATGCTGCCTGATTTTTAACGATTTATCGCATGAACAAAATTATCAACGTTCGACTTTAATTGTGTTTCTTATTGACCTGAAACACAGCAGTGATTCTCAGCATTATCAGAATATCGACGCAGTTTTGGTCACATTCCTCTGGACTTGAATCGCTGCTCTCTCTCCTCCAGCTGGAGTCGCACCCGGGTCTCACTCTGTTCCGGATCAGCAGCACCTCAGACTGCCAAAGGGGAGAGCGCCTCCTGCTGGTCAGATTCCTGGGAGACGTTCACCCCTTTCACCACCTCCTCACCACGCAGGTGAGTCTCTTGGTTCCTCCGTTTCGTCCCGCGCTCCAGATGAATCTGGACTTCCTGTCTGTCTCTGCGCAGCACTCGGCCTACATCATGGACGAGCGGTTCCCCTGCGTCCCCATGCTGAAGTGGGACCACATGATGGAGGCTCCGCCCCTGTTCTGCCACGTGGCTCCGGGCTCCGCATCAGGAACCACAAAGGTTCTGCTCGGGTCGCAGTCGTCCCAGGAGATCACTCTGCTGCAGTACTCTGGTGAGTCAGCAGGGGGCAGCAACAGCCAATGGTCCTGGTGCTTTTCAAGGTTTTGGAAACTTTTTGTTTTCTGGCCAGGCTTATTTTCAATTCCCTAAGTTTTACATTTAATTTTAAAATCTCTTTTCTTTAATTCTGGTTGTTTAGTTTTAATTTATTTCTGCATTTTCAGATACGTTACAGAAACATTTAGTTACTTTTGCTTCGTCCTCCCTGTTGGGTATTTTCTTGTTTTTTGTTTTGTCCGTTAGGATTCTTGTTTTGTTTAGTATGTTCATTTGTCCTAACTATCCTAAAATTTTATTTTTAAAATTTATTTTATTTTTAATAAAAATATTTAGTATTCTCTGTATTTTCTTTTATGTTTTTGTAAATTTTATTTATTTCTTTTGGTCTTCTCTGTTATGTTTTGTTTTTAATTTTCAGTTTTTTGTGGTCATTGTCGGAATTTCTGTTTTTTAATTTATTTTTTTTACCATTTTAATTTTTTGTAAATTTTAAAGAATTATTTTCTTTTGTCCTTGCTGTTTGTCTTTCCTTTAATTTTGTTGTTTTATGTTTGTATAATTTTTTGGTTTGTTTATTTTTCCTCTCTGTTTAATTAATACTGAATCAGTGATTCTAAAAAAAAGACCAAAAAAGGTTTTATTTTGTGCTAAAATCGTCCCACATGTCGGATCTGTTCCGCGCTCACCGTGTTTAGAACCAGTAAAAACCGTTTTGCTGTTTTTATTTTCATGTTTCTTCTTCTCCTCCTCCAGGAGGCGCAGTGGAGGCGTGCTGCAGCCACGGTTCTCCTCAGGTTCTGCTCAGACCCAGAGACAGTCTGGCTCTGCTCCCGGTCCAGTTGCCCCACCGGCAGCAGACCGCCGCCCACAGACTGGCTTCTCCCGCTGCAGGTCAGCGCCGCCCCCAGCAGAGGGCGCCAGCGCCGAGTCGGCCGCCTTTAACAGATCTCCTTTATGTTTCCAGGCCTGACGTGTCTCCAGAGGACGTCCGTTTCCACGGCGACCATGATTGTCCTCCAGCTGACGGCGGCGGGGGACGTCTTCTACCAGATCCTGGAGCGGGATGACGGAAAACCCGGAACGCCGGAGGCCGGAACACCGGAGGCCGGAACGCCGGAGGCCGGAACGCCGGAGACTGAAGTTCGCTTCCCGTTGTTGGTCTCAGAAACGTCCAGTGACGAGGACGTCGTCATGCCAACGCAGGCTCCCAACGCTCTCACGTTTGTCCCGGAAACGCCGGACAGGAACCAGAGTTCGGATCGGTACGCCTGATAAATGAAAACAAATTCAATAATTTCCTTTTGCATGATTTGCCGTTTTTCTCCTTCTACCAAAAACTGGATGATAAAAGTTTCCAGTTTGGTGTTTTGGTTTCAACTAACTTCTTATTTTGAAGGTTTTCAGAGACTTTATGATTTTATTTGTTGTTTTGTTTATTTTTGATATTTTAAATGTTTTCAGTTCCAGAGTTAAATGTTAGAATTTAAAGTTTATTGATCTTTGAATGTGTTCCTGGTCTCAAACCAACCATGCCATCGTTTGTCATGATAACCAGCAGCGTTTGTTTTCCTGCCAGGCCTCCGGATCGGATCCCAGCGTTCGTCGCCGTTGGTAACGGAGCGGATTGTTCGGCTCCCTCGGCGCTGAGCAGCGCCACGCGTCACGCCTGGAGGCGCTGGCTGCAGAAGCTGATGAGACAGGAGGGGAAACCCGGCGCTCCGCCGCGCCTCGCGGTCCGAACCGATGGTCTGCTGAGCGTGCCGGAGCCGGCCGCCGCCGGACGCCACCTGCAGGGGGCGCTGCAGCAGGACCTGCAGCGCTGCATGCGGACGCGGTCGCTGCTGCTGAACAGCAACCTGGACCCGGTTCCGGTGCCGCCGGTGGTGGACGCCGAGGCGTGGCGCGACCTGCTGAGCAACCGGCTGACGACGGCGTGGCGCGGCGGCCAGGAGGCGTGGCTGGAGTGGTGGCAGGAGGAGCGGGGGGCGAACCAGGCCATGAAGAGGGAGGCGCTGCGGAGGAAGAGGAGGAGGGAGAAGGAGGCGCAGCGCGCGGCAGGGCGCCACCTGCAGCTCAGCGGCAGCTTCACCTCCTCCGTCAGCTACCAGACGGACCTGGACGACTTGTCCGGCTGGTCCTCGGGGACCAGCGGCCCGCTGTCCGACAGCCAGCAGAGCAGGCCTCTGGGCCAGCTGGCCTCCTTCCTGGAGGATCAGGACGACTCGCTGCCGCCGGACCGTCTGGATCCGCCCTGCAGAACTCCAGAGCCACAAACAGCCAATCAGAGGAGCAGGAACCTGACCGACCAATCACTGAGCTTCATGTGGGAAACACAGGTGGGAATGATGCTGCCACCACCAGGTTTCAGAGGGACGGTCAGTTTATACATGTTAGACAAAAACATCTGTTCATCCATGTATGTGATCAGTTTCTCATCTAATTATCACCAATAATTAATCAATCTTTACTTCATGTCGTCCAGATTTAAATGTCTGAAATAAACAAAAGATTCATAAATACTCAACAGAAAAACACATAAACTGCTTTTATAAGCATCTTCACACCACAACAATTAATGATTAATCAATTATTCAAACAATCTTCAACTAATTTAGTAATTGATTAATCATCTGGAGTATTTAGACTCTCAGGCTTTGCTGGAAGAACAACAGACTTAAAGCAGGGATGAAGTTAAAACTGCAAAAAATGATCAACTAATCAAACGATGCAGCGTTCACTAAAGAAATACATTTGTTTAGTTTTTTCATTTAAAAATGAATTATTTATTTTAAAGATTTGCATTCTTAATGTTTTTCTAATATTGTCTGAAAGAAATCCAGAAGGGATCATTTATTTTATTCAATTAATCGATTAATCGTCCAACTAATCGATAGAGGAATAAATGACTAAATCAACCCATTCATGAGTTTCCACCACAGTGGATGGAAGCAGCTAGAAGTCTCACTTTTCTTTGTGTTAGCTTCTAGCTAGCAGTCTGTTTCTGTCATTGATTGATTGATCGATTGATGGTGTTTATACCTGAGCTGGTTAGCGTAGGGACGTGTTTTTGTCAGCAGGTGTCAAATTAAACCAGTCAGGCGAATTACTGATTGGACCACACTGTGACATCACTTCCTGTCTCTTGTTTCCTCAGGACGATCCTCCTCTTCATCCCACCCCCTCCTCTTCCTCTCAGCTGCCCAGCTTTCCGTCTCTGACGCCCTCCAGGCCGTCGCAGAGCCAGCGGGGGGCGCTGCAGGGGTCCCAACCCAAGAAGAAGAAATCCCGGATGGGATTCTGATCCCAGGATTGGATTGTTGTGACTCTAATGGTGGAACAGGAAGCAGGAAGTGACCCGGCGGAGGAGACGGAGCGGCCCGCCTGGTAGGACTCTGTGGTTGTTTTGTGCTAAAAACTGTAAACGTGGATTTAAATGTCATTTTCATTCAAAACAAAAAACTAATATTTGCACAGAGAAGCAGAAAGACGTTTTATAACCTGGCTGGTTTTCTCCAGGGTTTTCTAAAAATAATAAAGTTGAGCGTGAAGAACCATCGCCTCCAGACTCCGAGTTCGTCTCTCCAGATCCTAAAATCAAACTTTTCTGAACCGGAACAGTTTTTAAATCTCCGATAGCCGTCAGGCTGAAGTTAAAACTGCTGATCGTTTCATTCATGAAAAAATAACATTTAAATCTCAACTTTGGTGCCAGAATTAGTTGTTCTCACTGGTTGCTATGACAACATAAATGCATCAGTGTTTTTAGATGTATCTGCATCACTGTGATGAATTCTGGTGGCTGTTCATAAACCAACCTGAGCTTGGGCTGGCAAATCTCAACATTAAGAAATAATATTTACTGTAAAACCAATTTTTCACACAAAACTTAGATTAAAATCTTTTTTATTATTTTCAAAATAATAAATTCATTTCAAATGAAGATCTCGTTATTTTAAGATTATTGAACTCGACGGCATCTTCATCTCTGCATTGAGATCTGATTGAAAACATTTTTCAGCTTTAATTGGTCGTCAAAGTAGAGCTGAAACGATTAATCATGATTAATCAACTGTTCAATCAACCAATTTAATCATGATTAATCATTAACTGGAGTATTTGCTGAGAGAACAACACACTTAAAGTAGAAACTAAGCCAAAATTGTAACAAAAACATTTTGCATTTAAGATGAAAATAATCCTCATTTTAAGCTCTTTTGCCATTATAAATCCAAATGGTTAATTATTCACTGAAGGAATGCTATACTGTTACGTTTTTAGTGATATTTGTTTTCTTATTAAAGAAAACGTTGTGCGTTTATAATGTGTAAAATGAGGACTTTGCAGAAGGTGCCAATTATTCAACAATATGATCAAAGCTGGTGCTAAAAAATTAGCTTCAGATCTGTTTGTCCAAAAAAGATCAAAATCTTATTTTATCAAGAAAATGAAGACACTTGCCACAAAAAGAGCTAAATATTGTATTAACTCTTTAAAATTATGATAAAAGTTCCTGTAACAAAACAAACTGGGATCTTAAGATGATAAAACTGGGTTTATTTCAAAATAAAATAAATTACTCTTTCAGGTCATTAATTAAAAAAACTTTTAGTTTTCTGATTTTGTTTCTTAATGCTGAGGTCAAACGATGACACCAAACTAGAGCTGCAAGAAATGCCTTAGTGATCGATTAATCAAATATTAAATCGATTAATCAATTATTCTGATGAAGCTTTATAATTTTTTTACTCAGTATACATTAAAAGATGCTAATTAAATAATTCAGCTCCGTTTAAATTGGAAAATAAAAATATTTTGCCCAAACTGCAATAAGCAGATTTTTCCCCTCCAAATTTCAAATCTGAAGAATTAAAAATATTTAACTGGGATTTTTAAAAAGTTATTTTGATGTGAATCCTCTCCTTTCCTCCTGGAGGATCTTATTCAGCTAAAAATGAACAACCAGCAGGCAGTGGATTAAAAATAGCGTTTTTTTATAAGGTTTTTCTTTTTCAGGACATGTGACAAAAACAGAATAAATAACTCACTATCTACAGAACTATTAACAGATTTTTTTGTACACATTTACAGTTTTACAGGTTTTTCTATAAACATTTTTTCACTTTTTTTTGACACATTCTGCATTATTTAGTCTGAAACAACATCCTCACCTTCAAACTGAGCTAAGCTACATCATAGCAGGTTCACACGTCCACATGTACACTAAACACACGTCCACCTTCTAACACATTTCAAAACAAAAACTGTGCAAATTAAAGTTGGAAACAGAAAGTAAAAGCAGCAGCTTTCTCTGGATTTACTGTTTTCAGCTGATATTTGGGATTAAACACAAACGACTCGATCTGCTGCTTCCACCTCCTGCGCTCCAGAAAAACAGTCGCATGTTAATAACAGTCAAAAGAAAACCAGACATTCTGTGGGACAAACGCGACACGTTTTGGCAAATAGTCTTTGTTGCAGCCTGGTCTGCTGACTCAGCACCGAGAGGCTCAGAGTTTCTCCAAAACTGACCAGGAAGTCGTTGCATCCTGGAATGTGACGCCGCTACAAGCTAAAGCTAGCAGCTGCCAGAGGTTGTGCGCCGCTCTCCCGGCGGCAGAGCGTTAAACGAAGACGGCAGGAAGTGAAGGGGACGGAGAGGAGGCCAGGCACGGGGAGGGGGCGGAGCCTTCAGGCGGCGAGGTACTGATGGCGGAGGTGCAGCGGGAAGAAGGGGCCTTCGGTGTCGCTGCCCAGAGAGCTGCAGAGAGACTCGTCTCCTGAGCTCATCACGTCTTCACCAGAGTCCTCACTGTGGACGAGAAGGCGGGAAAATTTAACACCTCCAGACACAACCGCAACCGAACTTCTCTCAACATTTGATTTAGGGATGAAACGATTAATCACGATTAATCGTTTATTTAAATATCATTAACTAGTTTACTTATCGGTTGTTTGAAAAAAGCCATTTGCTGAAAGAACAACACACTCAAAGCACAAATTTAGCCAAAAAAATCTTCTCAGTATTTTCTACCCAGAATTCATCTGGTTCAAATTCAGTTATGAATCCAAGAAATAACAAATCAGAAGACTGAATATTTCATGCTGCTGTGACAAATGATCAAGCGTTCACTAAAGGAAGGGCATGTTGTTGCATGTTAGGCCATAAAATGTTTATTTTCTTATTTAAATAAGGACTTTGTGTATTTTTTATGTATTTGTGATATTTTATATAAAAAAGATGACGCAGTTAAATGAAAAATCTGCAGAATAAACTTTTTTTTTTAAAATAAATCCCAGCAACGTGGAAAGCTTGACATTAAAACAGTTCAGCTGGTTTAGTGATTATTGTTGGATTAAATGATTAATTGGGTGCAGAAGGTGCTTAATGAGATCTTTTTGTTGTTGTCACAGAATTTCAACCAGGTGAAGTTGAAACTGCTTCTGCAGGCGTTACATGCATAATTACATTCTTTATATTAAATGCTATATATATATATATATGTGTGTGTGTGTCTTTGCACAGTTGTGGTGTGCTGTTCTTTCTGTAAAATTACTTCTTTTTGTGTCGGTATATTCCAGTTAACGATTAATCGACTACTGAATTAGTTAACAATTATTTCAATGAACAATTAATCACGATTAATCGTTTCAGCCCTTTAGTTATTTTGAAATCATAGCCAGGATTTAGTAACATGAGATCAACATATAACCTAAACTGCTTCGTTTTTCACCAGAAATTATATTTCAAACAAAATATTGAAGTTCTCTGCTGATAATCTTAAGAAAGGTCAGGTTTATTCTTCCTCTGCTTCAATAAAAACTCAGATTTCCAGGTTTTCTGAAAACCAGGAAGTGGAGCAGAATGTGGACCAACATGTTTTCATTTAGAAACAAAAACTGAGCATGAACTGGTTCTGCAGGAGAAACAACAGATCAGCTGGTTAAACTTCGACAGTTTCTTCCTCTTATCTCAGAGTTACATAAACCGTGAGCCCCCCGCCGCCGCCGCCCTCTGCTGATTGTGAGGTAATAAAACTGTCTGAGGACGTGACCAGATGAGTCGCCGCGTTGTGACACATCAGAAAGCCGAGTGTTGCTGCACGACTTAGTTGCCTCAGACGATTATTCCTGTAAATATGACGCGATTTGATTTGAGGGAACGACTTTTACTGACTAATGCTGATGGAAAATGGGGCGTTGCCTTGGAGACGCTTCGGGACGTGGCCGCCTCCCTTTCAGGTGAAATACCTGGGAAGCTTTCTGAGGCGTGTTGCTGTTGCAACGCGTCGCTGGAACATTTCACTCATACCTTTTATTTTGATTCCAGTTTCAGGGTGTGTTTGTTTCAGGTCTGTTTGCAGATTATTATTTTAATAATCGAGTAATCTACCAATTATTCTGTCGATTAATCGATTATTCATCAATTAATCACATAAAAAAAGAAAACTAGAAATGTATGAAAGAGAAAAGGCCAGTTAAACAAATCAGTTCCTTTTTAACATGAAAACAATTTACTGCTTAAAATATAAAACAGATTTTTAAAGTGCAAAAACAGATTAACTTTTAAAAATGAAACTAATTTATATTGAGGTTATTAGTAAACATTGAACTTTATAGTCCCTTCACCTGAAGTCTGAAGATTTTTTACCTAATTTCATAAACTAGGTATTTCTGATTTTTTTTATGTCATGTGATTCTTCTCAAACAACGAGCGACGAAATGGAAAAACATTAAAAGTTAAAAACGGGGGAAATTACACTAAAAACCAGCAGAGAGCAAAAAATAACATAGTTTACTCTTCGGGCTGACTAACCGGGCTTTATTCGGTTCCGACATGTTTATGGACTTGGTTGGGTTGGATTATTATTATTATTTTTTTAGAACCGATTTAAACTTCAATGTTTCCAGCAGGAGGACGTGACATTCGTGAAACCCAGCTCCGTTTTACGGGTTACGCAGCGAGCCGTCTCCCTCCACAGCTGCTAACGGCGCTTAGCGTTAATCAGCGGCTCATTGATGGAGGTGAGAGTGACGGTGTTTCCACCCGGATGCATAACGGTCCGGGCCGACCAGTTTAAAGTAATCCCTGGCTTCTCTCACCTCTCGCTCTCGTCCCAGCAGCCCTCTGGGATGGTGGGCAGCTCCGGCACGCTGCGGTGGCTGTGCAGGTTCTGCGCGGTCCGCCGGGACACGATCCACTGCAGCTTCCGGTGGTTGGGCTTGCAGCACTTGGGCGAGGCGTAGTCCGACAGGCAGCGGGCCACCCGCTCGCTCCACCGCTGCAGCTCCGTGTCGGGAATCTGAAACCGAGACAGCGGGTTAAACGGTCGGTCAAAGCCGAGGCTTTCCTGAAGAGCTGTAAACGGAAACGGGCCGTTTTGTTCGGGTCAGCAGGTTAAAACCCGACCTGCAGCTCAGAGCCTGCAGGCAGAGCTGCTGCTGCAGCTGCTGCAGCTCAGAGCCTGCAGGCGGACCTGCTGCTGCTGCTGCTGCAGCTCAGAGCCTGCAGGCGGACCTGCTGCTGCTGCAGCTCAGAGCCTGCAGGCGGACCTGCT